GCCTTTTATTAAGGAAAATGGTGATAGCTGGCCTCATGGTGGGAACAGCACTTGGGCTTATGTGAACCCCATTGCAGATACTGGTTGCCAGCACAGGTGGGGCCAAAGCACAGCATCAAAATGCTCCCTTTAATCAGAGGTAAGAGCAGTGCACAGAAATAAACAACTGAGAAGATGGGGCTGGTTTTGGGATTAAGGCATACAGGCAGAAAAGCTTTGTATCTCTCTGGCCACAGTACCTTAACACCAACAAAAGTTTCCTCGTGTCCCCTTTCTCAGTACCTCTTGTTATTCAACACTTATCTTGAATTAACGTATCCCAGAAGGCACTGGTGACTCTCCCTTTCCACTACCCTATCCTAAAGCTCTCTGTTTTAATTTGTTTGCATACTAAAGCTAGTAGCTGATAAGAAAAAGCAAGTTTCCGCTCTGTCTGTGGGCTCCCCAGGCATGTGACTGCCCTTACCTCTTGCCTGGCAGCTGCAGATAATGCTCCAGAAAGTGTTTTTCTGCACTTTCAGGGTAGGAGAGAGATGACAGCTTTGCTCAGTCCCCCCACTCTTTTCCCTTGCATTGAGGGAGTCACAGAGACAGTTGAGGGGTCCCTGCAGTGCCCTAAAACAGGGTCTTGCAGGACAGGATGCATTTTGTCTCGGGGACTTCTACTGAGGGACATTCACATCTCCTAGAAGCACACTCACTGCAAATGTCTGACTCCCTAATACCTGCATTTATTTCCTTGCCACATCCTTGACTTTAACACCACCTCCTTTTCCTTCTTGCTAAAAAGGAACAGTCTCTTGAAAGCACTGTCATACTTAATTCCCCAGTGGAAATTGTTGAAGGTGACTTTTCTGGAGTGACGAAGTCTTGCTGCTTGAATTGTTGTGCTTTTCTGAGAGGGATATTCGTTTCTGTGTCTTGAAACAGAACTTCAGTAATCACTTTATGTTCTTAAAGTAAAGGCTATATATAATGAAGCTTTGATAAAGCTTTCATGTACAATTATAGGTGACAGATTAAATAATTTGTAGACCTAACTTTTTTTTTTTTCAGATAATTAAGGTATGCAATAGCATTTTGTTGGTTGATTAACATTTGGATAGTAGTGTGAGTACTTGGAGCATTATGAAAGTGAAATTTTGTCAGTAATAAATCAGCAACTATAATCAGGGTTTGTTACATTTTTTTTGTGAATAGGGGCCCCATTAAGTCAGGGAGAATTTTACCATTATCTTCAATAAAATCAGACTTTCATCCTCCCATTGCAAAGGACCTTTTAACAGCCGCCTATCATCTTGTCATAAACCCTGTTTGAGCGAAACTAATCTTATAGGGATTTTATTAAGACAGAAGGATGGTGGAGGAGGGAAGCTTTTAAATGCTTCTGTTGAAAAGAGCTACCTTTGAGAAATGCTTGTGCTGTGACAGAAAAATCCTGGTATGGGCACTGTCTCTAGCTCAGATAACTGCTGCATTGAGCACAGCAAGATCATTCTGGAGTCACCTATTTAAAGGATTAGGCAAAGGCATCAAAGGATGCCAAGGCCTCCTTTCTCTTGAAATAAATGCAAACTAGGAGTAATGTTATTATAATCAGTTGTGTAAACTAGAGTACGCAAAGGGTGCCTAATCTTGGTCACATTGTTAAAAACCAAAGAGTACAAATATCACCCCAGGTAATATTTGAAAGAGTAGACCCAGATATCATTTTTTTTTGTGAGTCCTGAAGCTATGATCTGAATATATAGTTTGTACTCTGCACCGAGGAGCAAATCTGTATGCAGTGACCCATGCTTCCTGCTCCTAGAGTGTAAGAGATGGCTGCTGTGCTGCTTTTATTTCTGCATGCAATAGAAAATCCTGTCTCTTTGAACCAGGAGTCAGTTTAGTGACTTTGTTTTTTAGGTCCTCACACAGTAATGAAAAGCAGCTCCAGCTTGGCACAGAACATCCTGCAGAAATTCAGGGTGGTGACATTTGTGCTGTGTAGGAGAACCCACAGTCAAGTTTTCTTACAAGTCTCCTGTCAAATTTTTTGTCACGTAGGCCATTACAAGACACTTCAAAAACCTCTGGTAATGCACACTTTTGTAGGAGGTATCTAAGGAGAGTGTTCAGCGAGCACTTTAAAATCACCTAAGAAGCTCAACTACAAGGTTTTTAATAGCATGTAACAAAGAGCATAGCCAGTTCACTTGTTCAAGATGGCCAGACTAGGGGTGGTCCTAAGACAGAGTACTGGAAAAGGAAAGAAGCATGCAGATGTCACTGATAGAGAGCAAAAAGAACTTTTTCATGCAAAGAATTTGTGTTAACGAAAGGAAAGGCTGTACCCAAGCACATTCACAGCTGCTAAACTTGGTTCTCCCTACCCCCAGGATAGACCCAGATGACTGCAGCAGGCATCATCCTTTTAAGGGATGTGCCGCCTTTTGCTGGATGAGGAATTCAGAGGGGACAGAGGCGTAGCCCTGGCACCAGAAGGATTCTGGGGGCTTCTGAGTCAGGTAGTGGCAGCCAGATGCCCTCCAGCCTTATCTGCTACCCTTTCATTTAAGACAGGCGAAAATAATTTCTGGAGGGACTTAATTAAATTCCATTAGGTCACAGTCTCTGTACAAATCATCTTCACTTCTCTTCCACATTTACAGTTGATGAATGTCTACAGCCTTCCTCATTATACACAAGGGTTATTTCCAGAGATGCAGGCAGCAGGATACAATTCATAGGATAGTCAGATGAAGCAGAAGGTCTTATGCATAATTCTGCTCTGAATCTTCCTTCACTTCCTGATTCTACACCTGTTGTCTTTATAAGATGGATATAGGGATCCCCTCCCTCAATATTTGCAGATTACAAGCATATATATTAAAATGTTGCAGCCTTTGAAATAACATGCTTAAACTGTTGGTATTAAAAGAAGCAGGAGATGCAGTGCAGTAAAACATGCCAGCTTTCTTATGGGCTCTGGGAACAAGGTTTCTGAATTTATCAAGAAAATTAAATTTGCAGTGTTTAGCATGGAAAATATAACAATGCACTGGTGGGATGGTAACCTTGCTTTCAAGTACCCATTAGAGGGATTTTTATGAAAAATATGCAAGGTCTGGATGGGATGCTGCTAGAACCACCTTGTAAAATTCACCCACACAGCACTCTTGGTGACTTTGGCTTTGCTGGCTTTGGTGCCCAAGGGTGTTCTCCACTGCAGACAACTACATATCTGAGTGATCTTGAAATTTCTTTTACAAAAATAAAGCCCAAGGAAAGTTTTGCCTAAGGGCAGGTGTCTCAGGCCTCAGTAATTTTCTTTCTATATTTTAGCCTCCTGTCTGTTCTTACAAAATGGTACACTATCTCTATTCTGGAGTTTTTTTCATTTGCTTTTTATGGCATGTTATCTTTGCATTTTATATTACTGTGTGCACTTTGCATTTTTCCCTTCCTGTTTCCCAGCTTATCCTCGGAATATGATCTCTAGCCAATGATACTATTACATTTTTCTGTGCTTATTTTGCCATTTCCAGCCTTTGGTAAAGCTCCAGAATTTCTCTGTGTTGGCAGAGAGTGGAGCTGTTTCCCCCAGTTTATTTTCTATGTAGCTGGAGTGCCCTGGCAAGGCATCATTGTGTTCTATTGAATTGGACTGGCTGAACACTGTGCCATCTGTACACAGACTGTTACTCTTTACAATCTCCTTGGATAGAAGTTCTTGTAGCACCTTGGGGTGCTAATAGGAAGCGGTGAGTATGTATAGCTGGGGATTATGGCTGTGTGTTGCTGTTGTGATAGGAAAGTGTACTTTTGCATTCCAGTAGTAGGGTGTTGTGGATTTCTTTGCAGAGTTTTGCTCCCCAGGCAACAGTTTTCTAAGGAACCAGGCTGCCCTCCAGCAGAGCCCCAGCACCAGGCAGTCTGTAAGGTTTCAGATGTCTCTGGTCTGTTGCCTCTGAGGTGGAATAGCAGCATAAAATGAGAAAACCATAAGGTTATTCATAATGTAAAATGAGATTTGCATCCTCCCTCTCCTGAGCAAACTGTGCGTTATGCAAATATCAAAATGGCATAAACAAAACTGTCTTTACTAGTGCTAGAAGTAAGCTTTGGCTCTCTTGATATATTTGATGTATTTGATTCATTTGATATCAGTATAACTGATGCTGCACTGCTCAGAAATTTACCTCAGACTTTTTTTTAGTGTTCAGCTTGATCTGTCAACCATACAGAACACCCATAAGACATGGCTATATTTTCCTATGAGTTTTTCCTTCCCTACCACTATATCCTGTCTAGATCAAGTATTTCCACGCAGTGGCAAGGTAGTCTAGGATAGAATTGCTTCCCTAGGCAATACATTGCCTAGGGAAGATCACCCTGTTGTTTTTTCCTGAGAGGATGCCCAGGTAATTCACAGTGTGTTAAACTGAAACGGACTACCCCCATATAATGTGATTTCCACAGAAGCTAACTATAGTGCTATATATATGTCCTTGATGATATATAACTTTATATGTAGTTATAAATAGTTATATTATCTACTTTTATTTATAATTATTTTGTTTATGTATTTAAATAGTTACATCTACATATAAAGTCAGTGCTTCTTTATGTCTGTAACAGTGCTATACCCAAGAGTCAAATTCCTAGTCCAGTTGCAGTATGTACAGAAAGGAGATAAGTATAAGGTGTGTGGCACAAGCTCCATCACAGGGGTTTCTTCACGTACTAATAAGAAAGAATGATCTTATTGGGACACCTTACATAAATAAAATCATTTCACGTGTCTCAGGGTTACTAGATAAGGCCTGTGGCATGCACACACAGTGGTCCACCTGGCTTATCTCACATCCAGTTCAACTGGGGGTTGCTGTGTTTTCAGCAGGAACAAGGAGCCTTCAGGAAGAGCTTGCTTGTGTCAGCACTCAAGTATTGTGGTGAGGGGCCTAAAGAAAAGGTACAGGGGAAAAAAATTATGTTTTCTTTTTACTCCCCTACAGATTGACCATTTCTGCTGAATGTCCCATGCAGCTTGAAGATTTCCCCATGGATGCACATGCTTGCCCACTAAAATTTGGAAGCTGTAAGTTCTCTTCTGAAATAAGAAATAGAAAAACGCCTTGTTTCTGGCTTTTCATATTCAGCCGTGTCTCATACAGATCTTTCACCCTCCCCCCCCAGCACTCAACTTTTAACACTGCTCATTAGCACCCCCAATCCACCCCCCTTGTTGCTACCCTGTTGCTCCTTCTCCATGACTGTGCTTTATCTGTGCCTGCTGCTTTTCAACTCATGCTTGCATGCTCCGTGATAAGCACTGAGCTGATGGGTGATACATCTTATATATCCACATCAACAGCCACTGTTACACGGAGTTGTAGATGCAAACAGCTAAGATGATGACTTGGTTTTACGTTTGTAGTAAAACAGAGCTTTCACTGGACTGACCAGATTGATGTGCAGTCATTGTGATATTTATATGAATCAGGCTTCAGTGCAATATCTGCATTGCATATATTAAAAGAGATCTAGAATATTAAAAGAGGAAATATCTTTCCATTTGGCTTTAATAAATCCAGTCCTGTATCCTGTTACATGATGTTGTATACACATGTATCTGTATATATGCACACATTATTCTAAATTGTATGCTGAATGATGATTTTTCCTCAATTCCAAGCCTCTAATCCACCACAATGCTGCCTTGCCAGAAGCTTACTTTAAAAATAACCTCAGGGAATCAGTTATATTTAAAAACAAAGCTTTTAATTAAGTACAAACCAGGCTACTGCAGTCAACTTTTTTTTTATTGTTTATTTTGGTAATCCAATCAGAGCTTCCAGGTGCAATCAGTGTATTTGAAGACTTTTGATAATTACCAGGCAAGGCATTTTGCTAAGCCCTGAAGCCACCTAACTTAAGCATTTTGCAATGTTTTTCAGTTGTATCAATTTAGAGTCACTAATCCTAGCAAGATTAAGCTTTGCTTTTATCATCTGTATCTGCCCTGATTTAATACTGTCTATACATTGTCTTCTGGTGATCATACTAAGAAGTAAAAACGCTGTTTAGAGTAACCATTACCAAATTACCAAACTTAAGATAAACTGATTTTCTTTCCCTCTTCCCATCCATGTAGACCCTGTTTCATGTGAATGTATTTTACAAGGTCACTTTAGGTAGAAGTGTGTTCACTGTCCTCAGCAGCATTAATTTACAGCAAAGCCTATATAAATCTGAAGGACCATACACCTTTATCCTAAAAAAAAAAAATATATGCAAACCATCCACTTCATTCCAAACTTTAAAAAAGGGAAAATATCTCACAGGAAACTGTAATTATTTGTATATAAGGTTAAACAAAAGCTACCAGAAAGAATTAATAAGACGAAAAATAAGTTGTCCTTCCTGGTGTTATATGTCCTTTACTGTATTGATAGATAAAGTTGAAGTCACACCTGCTGGTCTGTAGTGTAGACTATAGAACTGGGATGTTGCATAATTTTATGAAATCTTGCAAAATATGCAATATAAAAGTAAAAGATATGTATTTAAACAAAGAGCCTGATGCAGCAGAGATCTGAAGCTCAACCTTAAAGTCAAATGGATACTTCAATGTATTAATAGATTAGATGCAGAAAGGTACAGTTTATAACTGTCCATATAGTAAAGACACACAAAAAAAGCACCCCAGCCAAGCATGCAAGTGTATGAGATAACATTACCAGATAAGCTACAAACACTTAGAAGGAGTACCCAGTAATCTGTCTAAATGTAATTGTTCTGCTTGTGCCAAGTGTGTTACATATTAATCACTCATTAGCACACAGGTAATTTTAATCCATACCAAAACTAGCACTGAAAAGTTGTATTTTAGGCACTGAGAGGTGAATACTGTTTTAGTTTATGCTCCTTGCCATGCTCAGAATACAATCCTAGAGTTCATTTCATAAACTATTACAAGTCACCTTCAAGTTCTCCTACAGTGTGTAGACATGGAGACATTTGGTCTATGCTAGTCACACTAGTGGCCTCTGCAGTAAGTAAATACATAGGAACAAGCTATAGACAAGCTATTCAGCCTTGGGAATTTCTGTATTACTGATCTGACCACTCACTAGTAATTTACTGGGATTTAATATGCAGATGTTTGCAAATAGCAGCCAGTAAATCAGGGTTTATTGAACTAGCCCAAATGTGTTTTAGGAGAATACAGTATTTATTCCTATTTACAGTAGTATGGGTTTGCATTGAGTCATCTCCAGGTTTGCAACAAGACAAAGCCTAAAGGGGTATGATACACAGGCACATATACTTTGTGCTTTAGCTTTCCTCCGTCTTTCCCCAAAGGTTTTCTTTTTAATGGTCTCATTTCCTAGAAGGATTTTGAAAAGCATCAAGGAGTAGCATCAAAGTAAATGTTAAACACATTATCAGTGGAGATGGGAGGGTGGAGAAGAGACTAGTGCTAACCAGTGTGAGGGTAGAGAGAGCAGGGCAGCAAAATGAAACAGCCGGCACACAGGCAGATCATCAGCAGAAAAGATGCTGAGAAGTGATCAGTGTCACAGCAGAAGCAGGAGCAGGTTATTAATTTTCTGGCTGCATGAGCGTTCACCATGCTTGCTGTAATTCAGCAAGCAAAAGGCAAACATGTGCCTGATGTTTCCTTCATTATTAAAGAGAAAGAATATTAATCTTGCTCACAGAAATAAAGGCAAATGTTGAACTCTTATGTCCCATGTGACTGGTTTCTTGTTATGTTAGAAGTGTGGGAGGTTTTATGGGCCTAGGAAACATGTAGCAGCAGAATATTTTGTAGAAATAATTAAAAGAAAGGTCAAATTCACAAAAAGGGATACAAAGTTACCTGTTTACGCCACCATCCTTGATACCTGCTGGGCCGTTCAAATGCCAGCTATAGTAGTATTTTTTAATGCTCTGTGGCACATTGTGAAAAGGAAAGAAGTTCAAGGACAGCTTCTCACAAACTTAACAGAGCAGATTTTAGTTGTTCTTCTCTCACGTACAATGCCCCACTGCTCAGAGATGGCAAGATCAGGTGGATCTGCTCCAGGAGATGCATGTATGCAGGTACTTTTCCTTTGGCTTGTATCCCTGCTGTGGGTCAGGACAACTGTAGAAATTATCTTGCAGAAGTCTCATTGAGAGGGAACTGGGGATGGTACATGAGCACAGGCTCTAGAGTATCTGCAGCAGGCTCTGCTTCCTTTGAATCAGGAGTACAGTCTGTCCATTACCTCATAGTAATATGGGAAGGATGCTGTTTTCTTCCATGGCCAAGTTTAAAATAAACTTTACGTTGCAATTCTAGTGCTGATCTCTGTTCTAAATAACTTTACTGGTCAAACGGGATCTGATGAAAATTCCTGATGCCAGACACAGTTGCACGAGGAGCACCTTAGCCTAAGAAATTTGTTCTTACCCCTAAGCTATTTCTGGTGTGTGGGGGAGGAATTAGATAAAATAGCAAGGACATTAGAGCTTCACAGCTTTAATGTTTCACCTCTTCCACTGATGGGCCCTAAGAATACATTAAGAGTATCATTTAGTACAGATTCAAAATGCCCATGTGTCACCAGGTAGGTAAGCATTATTATCTCTAGGGCAGCTGAGACAGAGAAGTTAATTGACTTTCTGTAAGGTCATGCAGCAAATCAATGTCAGAAAAAGGATTAGACTCAACTTCTTTGGTTGGAGAAGCAGATGTCTAATCCACTAGACCATGAAGGCCTCTGCCCAGGCAACTGACTTAACTCCTAAATCTCATTTTACTCATGTGTTAATTATATCGGTGTTGCCCTGAAGATGAATTAGTTAATGGCTATTGGTGAACATTAACCGGTGCTTTGACAATGTCAAATACTGTAAAGTGATATCTATTTATGGCAACTGTCTCTTGAAGACACAGTGTCCGAGTGCATGGAGTTATGAGATCTTGTACTGTGGAATAGACAAATGCATGAAGCAGCTGCCAACTAGTCACTCAGCAGCAAAAAAAAAACCACCTTCAAAACCAAAACCTACGATTTTAAGAGTAAGTAGAGAGTTTAGTGAATATTCTGAAAATAATGAAATCCCCAAGCTCATGAGCAGAGGAAAAACAGGCCTGATGAATTTTTAGTCAGACATGAAGGTGGTGAAGGCTGATCACTGTTGATCAACAAGGGAACTTGACAACTGTTTATGAGAAAATAGCACTAGGTGCAATTTGTGGTGTCTGGAGAAAGTAGTTAACATGGTTTATGTACATCTTCCTTTTTAACAGCTCAAACTAAGTGACAGTATGACTTTTGATAAAGGAAATTGCACAGGCTATATCTGTAGCAGGAGGCACACTGCAATTATTTTCTTCTAAGAAGTCTAGTGAAGTCAGAGTAATCAGTAGACAGTAACTTCACCAGTACCTCAGGATTTTATTGCAAAGTATTTAAGGGAAATTTCCCCAATGATATTTCCTTCTAATGCAGAGAAGGCACTGAGGTGAAAGCGTTTCTTGATTTTATGCTTCCCCCCATTAGCACCTGCAAGAGCTGCAGGAAAACTGCAAGGGTTGGAAGGAGAACTTCAAAACAAAATCCTTCTAAACAGGCTCTAATTCTCGATTAGTCAAATGTGATAAAGAATGTACCCAGCCCCTCAAAACCTGTGTTTAAGAGTCTTGTGTAAGAATATAATTAAATGAATAAGAAATAAAGACAAATGTTAATTTTAAGAGACTTTGAAAAGGAGGAATGGTTCTTTGGAAGGTTTTCATAGGTTGCTCCCAGCGACAGCTGGAACTGCAGTCCCATGTATGGAGGCAGCTTTTCTCTTACTCATCTCTTCAGACAGTCTGAAGAGGGTCCTGAGTCTATTCCTGAGGGCAGAGATAAGCAGCATAACTTGTTGACTCTTACTGGATGTGTTAGTGCATTCTTTAAGAAAGGACACATGGAGAGAACCATAGAGGTTCTCTGTGCTGAGCAGCAAAGTTCAAGACTAAGTTGTGACTTTGCAATTTAAGGCAAAAGCCTCCTAATATAGGATGGATAGCTTTGGCAATGTTCTGTTCATTCATGT